AAGACAGAGAATAGAAGGGGAGGGAACCAGGTGGTGATAGTTGGAGCGGGGGATACTTACCTGGTTCAGGGACTCAAAAAATTCCCTTGCTGCTGCTACTGCAATGGGGTCTGTCCACTGAGGGCAGAAGCATGCAAGGAGTTGGGGGTTCAGCATGGCTGTACTGCCAGGCACAGCTCCTTCACCCCGCTTTTCAAAATCCTACATATGCCTACCCACACGGGTAACTATTGTTTCAACTTACTATCTGCTCCTACATTGCCCAGTGCTGGAGTGCTGTAAAAGCAGCCCACAGTCTGCTCCACTCATCAGCAAGTCTGGCAACATGAAAAGTGCACAGAACAAAGGGCTGCAAATTATGTCATTGTAGAGATGCGTCATGTGTCTGTACCCCCAGTGAGAGGAGACTACAAAATGAAAAGCTCCAAAGAAAGCAGGTGGGGAAGAGTTTAGTCCTAGGACATGGGCCTGTAGAGGATGCCTGGTGTCCCCAGGGAGAAGACCACAGCCCCTGCCCTCCCTGGAAGAACTATGTATACACAATGTCAGACAATGCAGTTCAGCCAATATGGCTCATTCACTGTATTCTGGACCAGCTCCCAAATCAGTTGGTCCAGACATAGGCAGCCATCACGAACAGTGCTGCAGATTAGAGACAGCAGGGTGAATGCTGACTCTGGATTCAGATACAGGATCTAACAGACCAGAGAAGCCCCTTTGCATATGGGATGCGGTTGAGTTCAACTACAAGTAGAAATAGGAAACAGTACAGCTTTGCTTTATTATGTTCCTTTATAGACCTCTGCATTTTAGGCATTTCTGTACATTTTTGGTGCTCAGCTAGAGGCTATTGGAAGGGGCTGTTTTTCAGAGAATGGATTCTCAACATTTTCTGAAAACTGAAAGTCATGAAGCTGTCCCAAGCTGGGCACCCAACGTCCCTAATCACTTCTAGAAACATTGCTTCTGCAGCCCAAAATCCTGAATGCTTTGATCTAGAATTTTGAAAAGGGAGATGCACGTGGTGAAAGGCAACATCACTTATAACATAACACATTTCTCTCCAATTAAAAGGGAAGCTAGCTTTTTTTAGTAAAGCTTTTAAAGGGGGTAGCAGTATACTATTCAGTTAATATCAAGGCAAAAAACAAATATAACTTTATTGGAATGTGCATTGGTTTGCTGGATAATATATTTAATATATTAAAAAAACAAAAACACAAGAAATTAGGCAATTTGGGCCACTTTGTCTCTCACTCAAAATTCATAAGACAAAATCTGGTCTTGTACATCTTGCTGGTGTTTCCAATGCTTCATTGTCAGTTATTTCTATACCCGAGTTAATATTACAAACACCCGAGTTAAAGTTTTTAGCTAGAGATATAAACATTCTGCAGGTTGTGCAATAGCAGAGAGACATTACCAGGAATAGCCAACAGACAGCAAAATTGCAGAAGAAAGCATGGTTTGAATAGTGAAGTACCAAGGCCATTAAAAAGAACGGAGAATTGTTAATGCTTGTGGAATGAAAAAGATATTAGCAGGAATCAGGTAGATGATCATGAGCCATGAAGTCAATTGACTCTCAGAGCTGCCTGATTGGAAATGCCACTGCCCCTCCCAGGCAGTTGGTTTTAAAATTTGGATTGAACAGGAATAAAAAAGTGCGGCTCCTCTCCTTGATCCACTCTTATTGGAGAGTTACACAGAGGGTTATCAAAATGTTTCTTGCTCTCCACTCCTGATGCCCACAATATGAGGGCTGCATAGGACACCCAAAAAAAAAACAAAAAAAAAAAAAAAGAAAAAAAAAAAAAGAAAAAAGAAGCATCTCTTTCTAAACTAGAGTCCTGGAACGAAACTACTATGAATATCTGAAAGTAACTGATGGCCAGTTTATTCTCTGGAAACACAAGGACACTTCAGAAGTGTCTCCTACCTACCCCTCCAGGATCTCCTACCTACTAATCGCCGTCATCATCTGTGCATCGGTTATGCTGTCATCATTGGTTAGATTTCTGATGACGCCATCCATGAGCTCCAGAGGAACATACTGGACCACACTGGCCAAGGCATTGGATGGAGCTTCCTGCTCCTCTGGAAGAAGAAATGAATAAGAGAACCCAGCACTGAAGTTGTTAGTCACCACTTAAATCCAGTCTGGGTGGGAATTCTTCTACCTTAAAGGTTAAATCCTGTCTAGCTAATGATGCAAAAATCAGCAGAGCACCATCAAGTCAATGTTTGTCCCTGCTAGAAGGATTTCTTGGTTCCTAACTCCATTCAAGCAATAGCAGATATCAGTGTATGATCACAGCAGACACTCTGGGTGCGAGGAACAAGGCAGAGGCAGAAGCAGTAATCTACCGATTTGGGTATTGGCAAAGCAGAAGCCCACCCCAAAGGCCAACAGGAGACCAGCTACTCTAACACCTGCTCAAATTCATGCTACCTTTGTGCTCGCTAATTATTCTATGCAAGCCACAACAGGACAGGACTGGTTTATCTGCACAGTGCAAGGGAAGAGGCCAAGGGTGAGGTTTCCAATAGCAAGGAGGACCCAGCTCCCAGCAGCATTCAAAGCACAAGCCATTTCCATTTGAAGCAAAAGGAACACCATGAACGTTGGGGAAGTAGCAGGCTCCCTCACCCACCGGGGGCCAGCCATAAAGAGGGAGATATTCTCAAATACCATGAAGGCCTCCTAGCCAGTCTTTACATTGGCAGCATGCTTACCTGTTTCAGCAACCAGAGGGGGCTGCATTTCAGAAGCAAATTAAAAGGTGGGCTTATCCCATTCATTATTCAAAGGAGCCTTTTATTTTATTTATTTATTTATTTATTTATTTTTTACCTGTTGAAGAAATGATCGTGAAGAGCTCTTTCAGGGATGGGAGGATGGCGGACGTCTGAGCTCGCCAGATTTTCTGCAGCAGTCCGCTCACTTTGTTCACGTGGTCTAGAAACTCCATGATCTCCTCCTCACCCTCCGAGATGCACTGGAACTGCCCGATGCACCGTATTAGCTGCTGGCAGAACAAGACCTGGTGCTTGCCGGTGGGGATACACTGAGGATGCTGCATGAGGAGTTTACCGATCTTGGCGCACTGCTTGGGTCCGGGCCTCTCGCAGACTTTCCGGAGCACTTCAATCTTCAAAAGGCTGAAAATATCATTAGCCGACGGGCTGTCCAAGATGAACTGCAGCCCAAGGTGGATGTAATCCAGCACATAATGGCTCCTTTTCCCCAGAGGCCCATAGCCCTCCTGAAGGAGGCTCAAGAGGAAACGGACATTGAAGAACTCTTCAAACTCCTCCGGATGGTAGTGGCCATAAACTTCCAACACCTCTTTTCCGATCTCCCTCTTGTACTTGGTATCACCTGTGAGGTAAAGCTTGGTGGAGAGCTCCAGCATGGACCAGCACTGCTCACTATCCATGGGCTGCTTCGCTGCCTCAATGACCCGTCTCACAAGTCCTTGCTTCACATTGTTGGGGTATGAAGACATCACCACAGCTTCCAGGATCTTATCCATCTTTGCTTTCAGATGCTGAAATAGTGACACAGAGGCATGTTCAGTCACTCCCTTGCTTCTCCTTGACAACCCAAAGTCACTGAGCCCCCATGTTCCCTACCGACTTCAGGAGGACTGGACTCCAATTTCTGTGGAAATCAGGTTTCTTTAGTTTAGGGGCCTGAATCTACAGATAAAAGCCTCATCATAATGAAATACCTCAATGTATAAAGTCTACCATGAAGTCACACACATGCACACAATTCTGATGTTAATGCAAGCCGATGCGTTGGGGTAATCTGCCGTCTTCCCTTATCCCACAGTTCACCCACATGTATTAACCTTTACTCAGGGAGTCACAGCGGAGGCGAACAGCTTTGCTTATTTCCCTGTGCAACACACTGTTAAATCAAGAAATAAAAAAGTACAGCTCAGAGCCGATTAAGAGATCTGGGCACTAATCCTCAGACCAGATCCAGCCTTTGTGTTGCTGGAACAGCATAAAGGGGCAATAAATCTGTCCTAACCTCGTTCCCTGGGACTTTTCCCCTCCACTTGGATAGCATGAACTGGCCCTATGAAACCCTTTGCTGTCACAGCTGTACAGGAGGTATATTCAGAGATCCACACCATTTCCTGGAACAGCCCCTTTGAGCTGTGGATAGCCTATAGGCTGCTATGTAGTCGCACAAGACTGCTCCAAGCTGCGATGAAGACCTCATGATGCTGCAAAGGTACCTCAAAGCCACGTGATGCCTTTGTGGAGCATAGCTGGGCCAGCTGCCAGAAGTAGGAGAGCTTTGCAAAGATCTCACCTGCAGGGCCATCAGCATCACTTCCCTGGAGCTGCTCAGCTCCAGTAACTGTGCTATAAAAAAAAAAAGTCTTTGTTGTCGCTCAAGGTCTCTTACTCTTCCATATTGGTTATGTTCCAGAATATTAAGATTGCCAGACATGAATCTTAAGGAGAAGTTTGTGCTGACACTGATGAAAATATACCCCATTTGAGATGCCCTTTGTTAGGTTTGCATGGCTTCCTGACTCCCATAACTGGAAGCATTTTCCTGTTCGTGCCTGGAAGTCTGCCATTACAGGTCGTCCCTGGCACTCCACTGCATGGATTCCACTGACTCACGCCATATCTCCAACCTCCCTGCCTTGGCAGGCATCAGCATAAAGCCAAGCGAGCACCAGTTTCTTCCAGATCTGTTGCATGTGTTTCGGCACCTGAGCTTGCACAGATATGAGGAAATGAGATCACAGTTTCTTGTAGGAGTTGGTACCAGAATACAACAACTCCATGGCCAGTTAGGACATCTCCAGTAGTCCCTATGCCACATGCTAGGGCCACTCAGGTTCACAGCAAGGATGGAACCCAGAGCTGCTTGCTCTAGAAATGAGGGGGGGGGG